GTTTTTAGGGGCCGGAGGGAGGCCCCAGGCGACGGTGGGCCCCGTTTTGAGACGGGAGGACTTCGGGTGAGGAGTTGGAAGGGACCCCCGGCCTTAGTGTGAACGAGGTGAGGGCCCCACTGTGCAGAGGGCACTGAGTGGAGGAAAGAGGGGGGCCACCGCGGGGAAGGGCAGGCACTTGGGGGCCCGGTAGCGGAAGCTTCTGGGGAGTTGGGAGGAGGCTTAGGGGTGATGAGGAGCCAGCCTGACATCCTTTTTGTGTGTCCGGGAGTCTCGGAGCGTGGTCAAGCTGGGGGCCCTTTTGGAGTCGGTGGGCAGCGGCGGCAGGTGGCCCCCATGCCGGGGGAGTGTGGGGCACCAGTGAGAGGTGGGTGGTGGGCTGGAGGCTGTGTGCCTTGGGGGACATGGGGGACATGGGCAGCCCCCAGGCACTGGAAATGCTGTGAAGGCTGGGTGGGGGCGGGATGGGAGGGAGGTTGGAGAAAATATGGGGGTTCCTGGGGAGTAGGGGCTGGGGGCTTATCTCCCTGGCACTTCCCCCTTCATTTCCCAGTAGGGCTAGGAGTTGGGGAGGAAGGGACTCGGGCTCTGGAGGAGGGGATGATTGGAGAGCCCCGAGAAGGCAGCTAGAGGCTGAGGGCTGATAGTGGGGGGAGGCTGCAGGGGAAACCCCTCCCCCCAGAGCCCCCACGCTCAGCCTTTGCCCATCTCTAGCCGGCTCAGGCTGTGTGGTGGCCAAAACCGGGGGCACTAGAGGGGCCACCTCTGCTTCTCAAACCTAGAACGGAGGCACCCTTCCTACCTGCTCCAGCCCAGGACTTGCCCGCCTTTTCTTTGTGCCCAGGACAGAACCTTGGGTGCTGTGTGGGGCCAACGGCCTGGCCTGAGTGGGCCCTGGGTGTGAGGCTCTGCCCTGTGTCAGGAGTCTGTCCGCTGCCTGAGCGTGCCCTTGACCGTTCCCCTGAATTTGCACAGGCCCCAGCCTGGAGCCCTGCAGTGTATGTGTGGTAACACCATGTCTGTGCCCCTGCTCACCGATGCTGCCACTGTGTCTGGAGCCGAGCGGGAAACGGCTGCGGTAAGGTCCTCGCGCACCCACAGCAGCCCCCAGGCCAGCTGGGGAACTGGCTGGAGGGGGCGTGGGAAAAATGGAGGTGGCGGTGATGAGAAGGGAGAAGCTAGGAGGTGGGGGGCTGGATGATAACCTGTTTGGCTGCTACCTCAGTTCCCCCAAGGGGGAGGGGGAGGGGTGGCCAGAAGTTGGACAGGAGGGAATGATAGCAAGATGATGACTGCCCTCCTCCCCATCTGTCCACCTCTGATCCTTTTCCAGGTTATTTTTTTACATGGACTTGGAGACACAGGTGAGTGAGCTGGGGTGTGGGTGTTCCCAGAGGAGGTGGGGTAGGTCCAGTTGGCAGGG